GCCCTGAGTCCCCTCAGGGAAAAGGGCGGCCTACAAATGCTAATAAAACCTATAAAACCTATAAACCTATGGTGAGCCTATGGCATGCATGCCACAGGTAGCACACGGAGCCATATCTGAGGGCACATAAGGTGTTGCCCTGTCAGCTCCAGCACGCCCCAGCTGATTTTCGGCTTTCCGGAGGGTGCGGGTATTGTGTACCAGGACCTTGGGTCGAGACGAATAACTGAGGTGGAGACGGGAATAAAGAGGCTAACAAGTTTATTCCCTAACAGTACAGCCTAACAGTAAAGGAACCGGCTTCAGACAGGAACGACAGCTGCTCGTTTGGACAGCTCCCTTTTTATACCCGGAGCTGTCAAACGACCAGCCAATCAGCTGTCGAGTAACTCCCGCTAAAAACAACTTTTATTGAGCATGCCCAAAACGTGGGAAGCATCCGGAGCCTGTGGATGGTGAAAAACAGGCCCAACAGGCCTACCAGAACTTCCAGAAGCCCGGGGAGGGCGGCAAACAGACCAACGGGCCTACTGGAAGTCTGGAGGCTTCAGTGAGACCTATGTGCATGTGCGGAGTAGAGGGAGTGAGGGGGTTGTTTGCGCATGCCCGGGGGGGGGAGGGCATCGCATTATGGGTGTGGGCATGCGGGTGCCCTTTTTGGCACCTGAGCAGAAAAACATTCGCGCTTGGCCCAATAAAGTACTCAATTCAATTCAACTTTGCTGAGATGCTTTTAGCAACATAAATGTTTCGGCTCCAAGAAAACTGACTCTGAGAGAGACCCTGAGGCTTTATTAAAACATCCATCCTTCCTTTTATTGGATTCCTCCTGTCTGGGGCTCCCGAACACGACATGGCAGTTCCTCAAACATATATGAATTCCAGATGTCTGTGGAATGCAGATTGTTATCAAGTCATGCTGACTGTTGTAATTTAGGATTGCAGGCCCAAACCCCTTCCTTCCTCTTCACATTTGCCTCTCTGTGTACTTTCTGTCCCCCACACCCCTTTTCATGTATGCAGCTGCCCCAGAGAGCTGTTTGAAAAAAACAACAACATCCAGACAGAGTGCACCACTAAAGCATCGAGGAGCGTTAGATAAATAAGAGGATGAGAAGATATTATGGAAAAAGTGTGACTAATGTAGAGAAGAAAAAGCAGGACAAAGGTCATGGAAGCACAGCGCAGGCTGTCAAATATTCTGCGTACCTTGCCTTTAAGGGGCTTGGAAGTGTAAACCGGGAGGAAGGATTGAGTAGCCAAAAGGGAAAAAGGTTTAGTTTGGGTGTCAAAATGCTATGTTGCAAGGAAGTTGCTTCTAATAAACAAGTTGTACTAAATCAATTTAATCAGGCAAATGCATGTTGCTACAGAACCAAATGTTACTATTTTTATGAAAGAATAACACGGGGTCTTTATTTCTCTTGGGTAGAAAATGATGCACCACATAAAAGAGATGGAACTGACACAGGATCAACATTCTATATTGCTAGAGTCTCTTGCCTGCGTTCAAAAGGTCAACAGTTTGGCACTTATTTTTTATTTTATTTGTTTATTATATTTTCATCCAACCTTTATTATTTAATAAGTAACTCAAGGAAGCAGATATATATCATACTCCTTCCTCCTCCTATTTACCTCACACAATGACCACATTATGAGGTGTGTTGGGCTAAGGGAGTGTAACAGCTAGGACTAGAATTCACAGTCTGCTTGGTTTTTAGCTCAGACTAGCTCTTTTCAAACCCAATGACTTGACAAATTAAAATTCAGGTACGTTTACCTGTAAAGGTAACTTTTGGTTATCTAGTTCAGCATGGGTAGGAGAGGTTTGCAGCATGAGACCTGGGAAAATTGAACGGAACGGAAGGGTTATATCATTACATCTAAGCTACTTCCAGATGCTTCTTCAGAGAATGTAGCTACTGATATTGTAGGATTCTTTGATAGGATTCCAGTGGGATACCATTGGGCTACATTGTTGATTGACTCTTATAAATGACCAGAAGTAGCTTGGGTATCACACTTCAGCAGGAATGACTGAATTGGCCTGTTGCTTTTGGTAGGGAAGGAGTCCTTCACTAATAATGGGAGGCAATTTACTTATGAAAAGGTTTAGCAAAGAATAAAATTACAGAGGAGGGTGCTAATGTATTATTATCAAGCAAATGGGAGACGAACATGTTTGAGAGATTCAACAGAATCTGAAAGACAGACTACTTACAGCAAAGTTATAAGGAAAAGGTTAGGAAAACTTGATTATGGAACTTTAGCAATTATATGCCACTAGCCGATAACCCGGTGTTGCCCGGGTATTTATTTATATGGGGGGAAATGTCCAGACCAAATGTAATGTCTAATTTTGGATTTTCCCCCTTATCAGAGGGAGTCCCCTTGTGGAGTACTGTGAAGCTGTTACCATGTGCAGTATGGCACAACAGGCTGTATCTTAACAGAACACACACCCCGATGGATGTCTTACCCCCATAGTATTTCTTTCCAGAGAGTAAGTCATCTGTGTACCAAGTTTGGTTGAAATTGCTTGAGGTGTTCCAGAGGTAAACACACACACACACACACACANTCTAACCCACATTCTTCTACTTTATCTAGTAGTAGATTGTGGTGTACCTTATAATTATGCACAAACCAATAGTAAAAAAAAAAATGCTACCGGTTCAGGTGAACTGGTATTTCCAATGATCAGCTGTGATGCACAATTTATATTAACTAGAATCGTCAGATTTCTTGCTTTCTAGCTAATCTAAGTCATGTGGCACAGCGGATTCCCCCCATCGCTGTTCTACTTACCTTTGCAGGTGCACTCAGTACCAGGTTTTGCCCACCCACCTGGACGTCATTACGACCAGTTTTTGATGCTCTATGCATGTGTGGAGGTGGCATATGTGAGCGAAGCGTCCGTGCGTGCTCACTTTTTCGAACTAGTAGGGAAGGTAAGTTGATTTCGCCCCTGAGTAACACTGAGTAAATGACCATAACTAAATGTAGATGTTCATGCTCCTTATATTAGTTAGGAAGGAGCTCTGATCCTACGAAACGCAGCTGCCCCATTTTATAAAACTCTAAGGACATAAAAAAATCAATCAAAGCCAACAAAAGCTCATCATTTCTTTAAAGCAGCCACATCTTTTTCCAGGTTGTTGTACAAGCCTGAAAAATGCCTTTGCTTTAAAAGTCACTTCGCTTTAATGATGTGATTTAGTGATGCTGCAATAACACTTTCAGGATTGTGCAGGAGTATTGTGCCCATGAAAAATTGGAAGCACACCTGGCAAATCCATTTGAAACGTGCATGATCTGCCAATTGAAGTGCAATAGAAGTTACAACTCACCTGAGGATCAGCCAATCTGGAAACATCTGGGTTTAAGTAGAATATAATTCCATCTAACGCCCCAGGGAGAGTGACTCCTCGAATTAGCAGCACAATCAACATTAGGTAAGGGAAAGTGGCAGTGAAGTAGACTACCTGGGAATAAAACAAAGATCATTAAAAGTAGTGACTAGCCAACATCCCTGGTCTTCAGAGCTATTAACCGACACCAGCAGAGGACCAGGGCAGACAAACTCTGGCCCCAAATCTACATGAAGACTATCAACCCATCGCTACAGTTCAAGTGGCATGAACACAACTTCAGAAAAATCAAAGCATACAAAAGAAAATCCCACCCACCCACTCCATCACCCGCACAACTGCCGGTTGGATGCAAAAAAATTGTAAGGAAAGCCCTAAAATACGCATCACCCTTAGCAGGTTAATACTAAAAGGCAGATATTATTCACCAGATATCTAATATCTTCATTGTCAATTGGGAGGCTGGTTGGTCTATCTGTTGTCAATAGTTTGGACTCCTTTGTGTATTTAATTTTAGTCCCTTTTCTCATTGTGTTGCTTTACTTTTATTACTAGAGGATGTAGGACTGTGGTGGCGAATCTATGGCACGCATGACAGAGGTGGAACGCAGAGCCCTCTCTGTGGGCACAAGCACTGTCACCAGCTGCTCTTCTGGTTTCTGACGCGCTGGCCAGCTGGTCCTTGTGGGTGCCGGAGTGCCAGAAAACAAGCCAAAAGATGGTCAAAAATGCCCTGAAAATGGCCCGAAAAACAGCCTGAAAAACAGCCTGAAAACAGCCTGAAAAATGTCCTGAAAATGGCCAAAAACAGCCTGAAAATGTCCTGAAAAATGCCCTGAAAATGGCCCAAAATGGCCTGAAAATCCCCAAAACAGTCTGAAAACAGCCTGAAAAATGCCCTAAAAATGACCCAAAAATGGTGCAAAAATGGGCCAAAAGCAGGCCATTTTTCAGACTGTTTTTGGGTTGTTTTTCAGACCAAAAGTGGCCCGAAGAACAGCTATAAACAGGCATGTGTACGAGGTGGTCTTCAGGTTTCTGGCGCTCCGGCACATGCATATGCATGCACATGCATGCATGTGCATGCGTGTTCCGGTCTGGGCACTTGGAGCCAAAAAAGGTTCGCCATCCCTGGTGTAGGACATTTGCATTTTTGGCTATCACAGTAATGTCATCAGCATAGAGTAGGTCAGATTATTTGAATTTGAATTTGAATTTGAATTTATTAAAATTTATAGGCCGCCCTTTTCCCTGAGGGGACTCAGGGCGGCTTACAATCACATTGATGCTTCTTCCCCCAATTTTAAAACCATGGTCATCTTTTTCCAAGTCCACTTCCTG